GCTGGAGCTTTGCATCCCTCATTCATGGGTCACTCTCTGCTCAATGATTAATTAAAAATGCATAATTAACCTGTGGAACTCACTGCCACGAGGTATCGGGGAGGCCAGGAGCTTAGTGGGATTCGGGGGAGGATTATATGTTTAAATGGATAATGAGAACATCTGCTGGTACATTAGCAGGGATCAAGCAGAATTAGGGAGAAGAGCCCAGCTCGCTGCTGGAGTGGGATGTGGGGGCTGGATCAAGCTGGATCAGCAATGCCCACCTTGATCCAGACCCTAACCATGGCCAACGTGCCCGTGCACACCTGGAGAGTGAGATTTCTGGGCTGAGCAGGGCTCTGTCACCATGGGACTGGTTGTCTTCAGGCTGGAGGTGGCCATCTGGGATGGATGAGGATCAGAGCCCCCAGCCCAGAGCTGCCTCTTGTATCCAGAGGCTGGGAGGGTGACCCTGACCCTTGAGGACATCTCAATAAGCTCAGCCATAGCACAATTCACCTCCTGCAAATGACACCACACTGGCAGGAATGGAGAAGGGCTTTGCAGATCAACTGTGTCACTGTCAGTGAGCTCCAAAGTTACAGCATGAGACCAAGAAGCCAAGGGAAGTGCAGGAGATGCATGACCAAGCCCCAGCCAAGCTGGCCATGGAGCACAGGGCATGGGCAGGGACACCTCCCACCAGCCCAGGCTGCTCCAAGCCCCATCCAACCTGCCTTTCAACACCCCCAGGGATGGGGCAGCCACAGCTTCCCTGGGCAACCTGGGCCAGGCTCTCACCACCCTCAGAGTGAAGAATTTCTTCCTAATATCTCATCTCAATCTCCCCTCTTTCAGTTTGAAACACTTCCCCCTCATCCCTCCCTGCCCTTGTCCCAAGCCCCTCCCCAGCTTTCCTGGAGCCCCTTTAGGCACTGGAAGGTGCTCTAAGGTCTCCCTGGAGCCTTCTCTTCTCCAGGCTGAACACCCCAGCTCTCCCAGCCTGGCTCCAGACAGAGCTGCTCCAGCCCTCTCACCCTCTCTGTGGCCTCCTCTGGACTCTCTACAGCAACTCAATGTTCTTCTTGTGTTGGGGGCTCCAGAACTGGACCCACCACTGCAGGGAGGACTTAAAAGAGTGAAGTAGAGGGGGAAGAATCAGATGAGCTGAGGACTCTTGACAACATTCCCAGGACCTGGGGGTATCCCCAGCCCTTGACCTGGCTCCACAGCCAGGACAATGCCAGATGCCTGGTGTGGCTCCAGCTTTGCAGCAGCTTGGAACAAGATGGTGAACATCCCTCCCAGGGGGAGAGATGCTGGAGCCCAGGGGATCCTCATCCCCCTCCTCCCAATGGGACCCAGGATACTCCCACTGTCCCTTGGCAGCACTTTGGAGGCGACACCTCAGATGCAGCAAGATGGGGCGAACGGAGACGCTTTTGGGTGTCGTGTCCCCTCTCCCCCCCAGGAGCAGGAGGCTGCAGCACATCGTGCTCAGCCTGCCGAGCACGCAGGGACCTGCTGGGTCGGGGTTAATCTCCTTGTCACACTTTCCCTCCTTCTTGCTGGCTCGGCGCGCTTTGACCCGCTGTGAAATTGTGGCCAACAGCACTGAATATTTTAAGAGCAGCAATGCAGTCATGGCTGGGCAGGAGCAGCAAGGCAGGCCGGGAGCTGGGCTGGGCCTCCCCTCACCCCCACCACCGCCAGCCCATTAGCACAGTTCAGGGAAACCTAAAAAATTCAAAAGACACTGAAATATGCAGCATTTCGCTCTCGCTGGAAATGATGCGCTTCGCTTCCCAGATGCTCCCGAGGAGGAGGATGTAAATAAAGAGGCTTTATGGCACCGGGGGGGTGTTGGGGACGGGGCTGTTGGCTGCTGCAGAGCCCCGAGTGACACCTCAATCCCTGTCCCCTTGCTGGGGACACCTCTGTGCTCAGGCTGGGGACCATCCCGTGCCCGCCAGGCACTGGCGCCCGCCCTGGGCAGCAGGGTGTGGAGGTACCAGCCACTCAAAGGCTGTCACCTCTCTGTCCCTTTTCCCTCGGGATGTCCCCTCACTGCATCCCTGCTCCCCATGGCCAGGCGGGACACAGATGCCGCAGGACCTGACGCAGAAGCCTGTCCTCAGCACTTCTGCTATCTGGGGCACGGAGCAGCAGCAGCAGCAGCAGCAGCAAGGAATTAAAAGAGGGGGAAAAAAAAAGAGTAAGTTAAAAAAAAGCACACCCTATTTGCATAAACCTCCCAAAAAGAGGAGCTGGAGCCTGAGCCCTGAGAGCTGGGGTGGCTGTGAGCACTGGCTGGGGAGCACTGGAGCTGGGGGAGCCACAAGGAGCAGGGGAGCATCTCCTGGCTCAGGACACGCTTTGCCACCAGGTCCCCACACATCCCCAGGTGCTGCCCCAGGGCTCGACACCTCACCCAGGAGTGACGTCGGGACACTTTTGCATTCAGGTCTGAAGAGGGCAGATTAATCGCCATGTGCTGGATCTGTCACGCACAGGGATATATATTCCTGGAATTTACAAGTAGTTCTGTCTGAGAAATAAACAACCGGAGATAAAAATTACATTGTCACCGTGCAGGTGTGATTGATGGGACAGACAAGCCCTCAGAGATCCAACAAGGTGCCACCAGCACCGCCCACCCAGGGAGCACCAGCCCCCAAGGAGATGCCAAAGGACCTCCAGGAAAGGCTTCACTGACCCCACTGAAGGTCACCAGCAGCCCGTCATGTCCCTGTCCCAAAGGCTGGAGAAGGTGGGGATGGCCACACAGACCATTCCCATGCCAGGAAGATGCTGAACCCTGGAGAAAACAATGCTGGTGATGGGTAACCATGAGGAGCACCCATGAAGTGCTGGTAGGAAGGATGCCTGGGGCAGAGCAGCCAGCTCTGGGGGGTGCAGCCCCCGGGTCAGCCCTGTGGAAAACCCTCCCAGGCTCCTCTCTGGTGTCTTTCCAAGGTCAGTGACAGGCAGAAGGCAGAGCCAGGCAGGCAGCTGCCGCAGCCCCTGGGGACCGAGGTGCAAGGAGGATTAATGGGATTTACACCAGGCTCCTTTCTAGTTTGTTTTCTCCATCTTCATCTGCTTCCCGGGGCTGCACTGGCTTTGGCCAGACTTGTCACCCTGTCACAGAACACGTTGCTTCCCGGGACCGCTCCCCTCCCTGGGGAGGTTCAGACATTGGCTCCTCCGTGGCTCAAATCCAAAGTTGCACTGAAAGCTGTAAAAAAACCACCACCTGGATCCTCTCCTTTCAGCATCCAAGGCGCCAGGGTCCCCATCAGCCAGGGTCCCTGTGCAACCTGCTGGGCATGGAGATCCCAAAAGCAGTGAGGGCAGCTGGGCCCACATCTGCCTTCCCTCTATGGATAAACTTGGAGCAGCTGCTGGAGCCTCTGCTGAGCTGGTCCTCAGGATTTATCCACAGTGCTCTTATCTGCCATGCTTTTCACAAGCACTTAAATTCAGGAGGAAAAGGGAAAAAAAGTGAAATCAGATAGAAGTGCAGGTCTGTTTGCTGTTTTCTCCAACGAAATGGTTCTGGGTAAACAGCAGACGCCTTTGATGAAATCCCAGCAGGCTTAAACAATAAAGCTGGTTACAAACTCAATCTGGCACAGATATCAGATCTGAAATTGTTTCAAAAAAACATGTCAACATTTTCTAATGCTGCTGCAAAACTTCCTCGGCACTTTGCCAGCAGGATGCGCCGGGGAGGCGGGACCTGCCCCGCTGTCCCGGCTGCCGCTGCTGCCACCGTGTTTCCCACCGGGAATCCTGCCCTGGCACCTCTGTGTCCCTGCCTGGGGACACCCCGAGCTGCGGGAAGATGTTCGGTATCACCTTGGAGACATCTGATGGTCCCCGAGCTGCCATGGAAGGACCTTCCCTGCTCCGTGCTGGGGGTGCACCAGGTTGTTTTCCAGCTGTAAATCCAGATGCCATCCACAAGCAGGGCCCGGCTGGGGCTTTGGGGAGCTCCATCCCTGCAGGCTCCACACCCACTGGGGCTCCTCATGGTGTGGGAGGTCTGGTGGGACTGGGCAAAGGGTGTCAGGCAGGGTGGCTGTTCCTCTTGTCCCATTCCAAGGCCAGAGCTCAGCTGCAGGTTCACCCCCGGTATCACCAAGGACAATTGACTTTTCCATGGAAAAACAATTTGCAAAGCTCTAAGGGTGGCAGAGAAGCTCAGCCAGGTGGTCCTCTTGAGTTTTCCCTCCTGTGTGCAACGTCTCCATCCTGCTGGGAAACCAGCCACTGCCCGGGGCAGGACGAGGCCATGTGGGAACACACAGATCCATCCAATGGGACGCCTGGCTGGGGCACGGCACAGGCTGGGGGGCACAAGGGGGCTTCATTCAGCAGAGATGGGCTGTGTGAGGGTGATGGGCAATTTGGCAGCTCCCATTAACAAGTGCCCATCTGTCAGTGCTGTGTCAGAGCAACAAGGACCATCCAAACTTGGAAAACACGTGGAGCCAGATGAGGCAGGTCCCACATTGGCACTGCCAGGTGAGTCTGCTGTTGGCTGGCACTGGTATCAGTGCTTGGGGTCCCTGGGGACACCAGAGGGCACAGGTCCCCAGTGGGGATGGAGGTGAGAGGACAAGAGGCTGCTGAGTAGGAGGAGGAGGAAGAAGCAGGTCTGGTCACACCATGAGTGGAGACAGCATCTTGATGCCAATGATGAAGCTGGTGCCAGGTCTGGGGATGTCTGGGACCCCCGTGGGCTCCAAGTCCCCCTCCACGAGGGAGCTGCTCCCTGAGTGCCAGGACAGACACTGGCTTTCTGCACTGGATCCAGCCCTTCACGTGCCACATCCCACACCCCTGCAGACACCTCCAGCCCCACGCTGATACCTGACACAGCTCGTGTCCTGTGTGGCAGCAGGACAAGGGAGGGAGCAGCAGAGCTCTTGTCCCTCCCAAAAGGACAAAGGATGCAGGAGAGGAGAGAAGCAGGGCAGGAGGAGAAGGAGGGGGGTCGGAGCTGGTGGCTCGGGGGGACATGGAGGGGCTGAGCCCCAGCTCTGCTGCAGTGTGGGTGTTGGGGGGGGGGGATGTGAGGGCCCTGACCCCTCTGCAGAGGTTGCCTTCAGCATCGATCCTTGCTGCACTCAGGCTCATTAGGGCCCGGGAGCTGCTGGCGCAGGAGCCAGACGGGGGGAGCACTCGCCGAGGCTCCCTGGGTCCTATTAAATATTTACTTTGTTTTGTTTTGTGTTTGTTGTTGGTTTTTTTCCCCCCCAGTAATATTGATCAGAGATTGGGGGGGGTGATGGTCAGATGCTGGGAGGGAAGAGCAGAGGCAACGGCTGAGCTGCACAGCAGGGAGGGACCCTGCCAGGTTGTCCCCAAAAGCTGCAGCTGCTGTCCCTGGGGCACCTGGCACTGTCCCACTCCCTGCAGAGCTGCTCCCCATGGACCCATTCATCCCCTGCCAGCACTGGGACGGGCATCACCAGCACAGGGGGAACTGCAGTGGCCTCGTCTGGATGGCTCAGGGATCCCACACCAGCCCCATCTCAAGGGGTGCAGGATGAGGGGATGCCCAACACGATGGCACCTCGTGGCAGGCCATGTCCCCCCCCCCCGGGCCGGGAGGTGACCCCAGAGCCAGGCTGGGCCCCGGCAGCGGCCAGGCAGCCGGTGCTGTTTCTATTTCGAGAGGAGCTCTACTGGAAAAGGAACAAAAGCCGAGGGAAGCTATAAATAGCTGCCTCCTTCACACCAGCGCCTCCTCCTCCCCAGCATCCCGCAGCCGGAGGGGGGGGTCCCGCAGCCCCCCCCCCCGCTCCGCCCTGCCCTCAAACCCCCTCCTCACTTTCGGACAAACGTCCCCATCCGAAAACCGGAGGGAATAAAGCACAGGGGAGTATTTTGCTGCTGGAGCAGCTCTGGCACAGCGGTTTGCCAAGTTGCCCGGCAGCTCTGCCCGGCTCCCGGGGGCTTTGCCGCTGCCCTGCCGGGCTCTGCACCCACAGACACCCCTTGGGGACCAATTCAGCCCCCTCGGGACGCTCCTCTCACCCCAGCACAGCCCTGCAGCTGGCAGGGAGCAGGGCGAGCAGCTCGGGCAGACCTACTTTCAAGGCTTTAATCCTTTTTGCTTTAAAGGGTCTTTTTTTTTTTTTTTTTTTTCCTCCTCTCTCTTTTCTTTTTTTCTCTCTCTTTTTTTCCCCCCTTTTTTATGTTTTTCCTCCCCTTTTTTCCCCTTTTTTTTTTCCCCTTTCTGCTCTGCAAAGATGGGGTGTGATCAGAGGAGAGACGCGGGGAGCTGACAAGCTGCGGAGCGCGGGAGAGAAAGGAGAGAGAAATACATATTTATTACCCTCAATTATTAAAAAATAGATAGCAGCAGATCTTAGGGCCTGGCAGAGGCACTGCGGAGCCGTTTGTCTGAGGACTTCTTTTTTTCTTCTTCTTTTTTTAATTCCATTGAAATTATAATAGCCCAGGCTTGTTAGCACAAACAGCCCCTACACCCCTGCCCAGGGGGGGGTCATCTTGGCCCCCTCTCTCGGGTGCAGGGTGCTGGCGGGGGGGGTGTATCCAGCACCCTGTGGGCTGCTGAAGGAGCAGGAGAGAGACCCGGGAGGGCAGGAGGTGGCAGCGGGTGCAGCCGGCAGCCTTTGACAGGGGAGCAGAGGGGCTCTGACCCGTGCAAGCACATCCCCATGACCTGATCCGCACCGATGCCCAGCCAGGCAAATGTTTCGTGGCTGAGAGCCCACCCGGGCCACCGCCGGCTCATCACAGGGGCCAAAAAAAGCACCGGGAGATCCTCTATGCGTGAGGATAGAGGGGGGGATCTGGGAGGATCTGGGAGGGGCTTCGCACATGGCAGCGTGGGGGTCCCGTGGCCGAGGAACCGGGGTTTCCCCCAGTTTGTGTGCAAACACAGCTGGGGAAAAAAAAAAGAAGAAGAAGAAAAAAAAAGAAGCGGTTCCCAAGTGCGGCACAAGGGGCTGGCGGAGCTGCTGGCACCTCCCCTTGCAGGGCTGGCTGGGTGAGGAGCCC